TTCCATTCATTTCTGAATTAATGCCAACCATTGACAAATGTAACCTCATAAAACCGAAGGGCCTCTCTACAGCAAAAGAAACAATAATGAAGTGAAGATAATGTCCAGCAAGTGGAGAAAATTTTTCACCAGGTAGGTATCCAAGAAGTATTAACATTCAGTGTACAAAGCATTCAAAAGCCAAAACACCCAGGAAAAAGTAGCCTGGCTCAGTGTTTGAGAGCACTGGCTGCTTTTGCAAAGGACCTGGGTTTGATTCATAGTCCCTACATGGAAGCTAACTACCATCCTTAATTCATGTTCCAGGGGATCCAATGCTCCCTTCTGGCCTCTGTGGGCACTGCACACATGTGGTACACTTACACACATGCAGGCAAGACACTCGAAAATATAAAATGAAAGTAAATCCATCAAAAAAAATTAAAGAAAACAAACCAATAAAAAAATGGGATTCTAACTGCCAGAAATAGAATTCATCCCCTCAAGTTATCAGTCAGAGTTCTGGAGGCCTACAATATAGTACAGACCGTGGACATTGCTTTCAGTTGTCCTTCTGCTGAAGAAACCACAGACTTTGGCCACAGGACATAAAAATCAAGTTGCTACTGACCAGGAAGTTTTTTCCCTGGTGTCTAGCTTTCATAATACCAGAAGTTTCTATGCAGGGTGCTGGGGAAAAAAATCATCGACACTTCTACCAACCAAGGGAATCCTGTAAGCTACAATAACAATAAGTTATGCCCATGGCTACACTAGTTGGCTTGAACATTATGGAGGTTAGCAACTGCTTTCTGGTTGGATTTAATACCCAGTTCCTTAGGAGGAAATACAAGCCTCGTCTTATAAATCTGATCCACAACCCATGGTTGAGGAGCGCATAGGTCCCAGGAATGAATCCAATACTATTCTGCTACATGGACATAACATCAAACTACTGTCTCAATTCATACTTATGTATGCATAGATTAGTGAAGTTGTCCGACCCCTTCAGAGAAGACTTTTTTGTGTGCCTTGGATGTTGGTTAACAAAAAAACTTACAATTGGTCAAAGTACAGAGAGTGTTAATAGAGTGCTAAGAATTTAATACCCAGTTCCTTAGGAGGAAATACAAGCCTCGTCTTATAAATCTGATCCACAACCCATGGTTGAGGAGCGCGTAGGTCCCAGGAATGAATCCAATACTATTCTGCTACATGGGCATAACATCAAACTGCTCTCTCAATTCATACTTATGTATGCATAGATTAGTGAAGTTGTCCAACCCCTTCAGAGAAGACTTTTTTGTGTGCATTGGATGTTGGTTAACAAAAAAAACTTACAATTGGTCAAAGTACAGAGAGTGTTAATAGAGTGCTAAGACACAAATAGGGCTTCTATATCACTCCTTTCCTAAGGTTGAGGGATCATCACAGAAGATGGAGGAGACACTGTAAGCCGGAGGTTGGAGAAGATCAGCACGAACAGTGTCTTCTAGGCATGCTAGAACTGCTACATTCATGAACTAATAGTAATTGTGGTTCGCTGTGCAGGAATTACACAAGATCAAGCTAATCAGCATTCTAGCCTTGATGGGGGAGGGGGTTCATGAACCGTCACACCTAACTGAAGAGGTATTGACAGTTGACAATTTCTGGAAGAGTCAGTTTTCTTCAAGAGTGTGGCCCCTAGTAGGTCAACCATGCAACAGTGGATAACCCCCACATCCATGAGTTACATGAGCAGCATAAGCAAGACCAGTGGGCTACTGAAAAGAGAGAGAGAGGACACCATTTGGAAGGGGTGGGGAAGTACAGATGTATCTGAGAGGAGTTAGGGGAATAGTGGATGTGTATATGATCAAAACACATTGTGTGAATTTATTACGTAACTTAGGCCCCCATAGTGGGAGCCTATGGGAGGATGCCAGTGGGGAAGGTGGTATAAAGATGATTAAAATTGATTGGGATGTTCTGTATGAAACACACAAAAATTCAATTAAAAATTAAAAAATAAGTAGATACACTGGGTGTGGTGGCACATACGTTTAATCTAGCATTTGGGAGGAATATATGTCCCTCTGTACAATTTCATCCACTGAAGTCTAGTCAGCCTATCTGGAGTCTCTCCCTTAAAGATTACTCTCCCTTACCCCAACATTAATAGTTGCCAATAGTTCATCGGCTAGGGTTGGGGCCTGCTGCCCATTTCCCCAGTTCTATGCTGGGTTTTGTCTGATTGAGTTAGTGTGAGTCAGGGACCCACGTGGAAGTAAAGCAAAAAGATTGTAAGAGTCAGGGCTGGTGCATGAACGTAAGGAAAGAGAGACTTTCAGGCTTCTGGGAACTTGATCATATAAACTTGCAACAATGGTGACAGCATGTACAAAATAAAGAAAAATTTTAACAAGATTATTTGATATCTCTATTCTATTAAGTAATATTTCATCCCATAATATTTGAGAATTGTTTCCATTCAGCATCTTCCCTTTATTATCATCATTAAATATTAAATGTTTGAATTATTGTCCTTTGTTATGTGACTAAACTGGTTGGAAATGCAAAGGGTAGTATAATCAAGCAAGATGTTGAGGGCTTTTTTTAATATTATTTTGATGGATCCTTTGACAGTTTGGAAAACATGCCAGAGATTATATTATCATAATTTAATGCATTGGTCAAATAAATTAGATTTCTTTTTCTAATAAAAAACAATAAGAGCTTTGGATACCTCTAACTTTGCACTTTTCCCAAGGAATAAACCTCATAGAATGAGAATGCAATTCATGATAATAAGTTGTTTCTTCAAGAAACCTATGAACAAGTTACCTGCAGTATTGGACCAAAACAAATAAAATCAGCAGGACTGCACAGAAATCTGTGATGCAAGGGCATATGAAACCCAGAAAGGAAGAGGTGCTGGCCCTAGAGGGGCCGAACCCTGAAAAACATAGGAAGAATTACTGCATGCCATGATAAAGAACACCCGTGATCATGGCTGACATATGCATTGCGTGCTTTTGAGGAAAGTAGCTAAATACTGAGTGTGCATCCAGAGGTAACTGATTTCAGATGAATGAAGTTTAGTGTAGGCCAACATTGGCATAGAGTGGTTGTATATTTACTATCATCAGCCACTAGTGAAAGTGAAGTGGGGATTGAGGAAGAGTAGAGAAGGAAAGCACAGTGAGTAAGGATATATGGATTTATATGGAGAGAGAGAGAGAGAGAGGAAACCATGTTAGAATAGCTACATATTAAAATTTATAGGATTTATATATAGAAAGAGAAAGAAAGAGGGAAAGACAGAGAGAAACCCATGATAGAATAGCTACATGTAAAATTTATAGGATTTTATATGCATACAATTTATACTGCATATATTTGCACATTTAAAATATTGCAAACACATGCATAGTATATCAATAAGTGCTTGAATATGAAAACTACATAAAAATATCATAACCTTATTTCTAGTCCCCAATGTATAGCTGGAAAACTCATTGTATTAAAAAGAAAATAATACAGGAATTGTACACAGAACATTCAACCAAATATTATGTACTATAAACAAAACAGCAGCATTCATAAAAAGTAAATGAAAAGTCACAAAAAAGAAGACAAAATAGATTGTGCACTACTGAAAAATTAGTTTTTAGAGTACCATAGAATAAATATCAGATAGCAGAACACACAAACTGAAGGACTAGAAAGGGAGAGATTTAGTGATGATTGTAAGCAGAAGTAAGAAAATGGATCCTGGAACTAGTAGAAATAAGACAGGATTAAGGAGATGTTTTAAAATGACTTAGCCAATAAAAAACAAATTAAAACTCAAAGTATTATACATGATCGAAAGAGAAAGAAGTAAAAGAGGAATACAGAAACAGTTCAAAAAGAACAAATGAAAAGTGACGGGGTGACATCATTTCAGAAGACGTGTGTGTGTGTGTGTGTGTGTGTGTGTGTGTGTAATAAATCCAACAATAAAGTAATATAACAATTTGAACAATTTTGTACATAATTCAACAATAAGAAACCAGTTTTGAATGAAATGAAACTTACCCACATCTAATACAAACACATATTCCTAATAAAGTAACTAAAATAATGTCAAATAAATACAAAAATAAAAATAAGGCATGTATCCACATGTGTGACAGTTTGAATGAAAATGTCCCCCATAGGCTCCAAATATTTGGACATTTTGGCCCCAGATGGTGGGGCTGTTTTGGGAAGTTTGAGAAGTTGTGGCTATCCTGGAGGAAGCACATCACTGGGGGTGGGCTTACAGAGTTCTTAAGCCTTGCTGGATCTCCAGTGGCTCTCTTGCTTCCTGTGCCTGCTGTGATGATGTGAGAGCTTACCTTCTGCTGCTCCTGCTCCAGCCACCTCCAGCCACCATGCCTCCCTGCCATGATGGACTGTAATTCCCCTGGAACCATAAGCTCAAATAAACTCTTCCTTCTATAAATTGCTTTGGTCGGTGTTTCTATCACAGCAACAGAAAAGCGACTAATACAACATGTAAGAACAAACATAATGTTCAAACATTGGAAGAAATATGCACAGAAAGAGATAGTGTGCCATGTGCTTGATGTTCAGGCTTCTTTGTTCTGTACATTTTGTGGTTTAGCTATAAAAAAAAAATGCAGAGAGTTTCTATTCTAGTCCAGTCTGTTTCATGTTCCATGTGCCTTATAGCTGGATGGGCTTCTCTTTCTCTAGATTTGGAACATTTTCTTCTATTATGCTATTAAAATATTTTCTATGCCTTTTCCATTAAATTCTTCTGCCTTTGAGTTATGTGTGTTTAATTATAGGACGAGATTCTCTAGAGAGAGGTTAATTTTTTAACATGTAATAATAATCACTAGCAAAGAACCACAGGACTAGTTGTGGACATCCCAGCAGCAAGCAGGGTGACCCCACTGTCCTATAGCAATGCACCTTCCTGCAGCTCAGAATCATATGGTATTGTTTCCATTGATTTTTAAACCAATCAATCTTATCTACAAAATATGCTACTAAGCATTCATTTTTCATGCATGAATCCAAGATAACTGCATAGAATTCCAAAGTTAAACACAATACTATTCCATCCTTCCTTTTCTGAAGCTGATGATACTCCTAAAATACATCATTACGGCAACATTATCAAACTTTCTCCCTCTCCTCTGACCCTCTTTGTACTGGGGATCAGACCCCTGACTGAGCATGTTAAGCAAACTCTCAACCACTACTTTTTCTTTATTAAACTATTTAGCAATCATAGAGTTGATAAAATTCTGAACTTACCAAATCTGTCATCATTTTCATTTGTGTCATTTCCCACACTAGCCTCCAAGGCTCCTCGATGCCATCTGGCACAGGGGTGTAAGCATTGTAAGCCATAAGGACGGCAGCAAAGAGAAACAAAATCGTCTTTCTCCCCATGTCTCCCTCTGCTCTTTCTACTTCAACAGCATAACAGCTACAATTTTCAAACCTTCCGATGTTGAATTTTAACCTGTCATAAAGTTACCCAACTACTTTAACTCAGAAGCTGTTGCTTCATAGTTAACAGATTCCAAAAGTACATGTATTCATGTGTGAACCAGAGTTTCAACACTGAACTACTGTCTGATAGTTCCTTCCAACCCTGTGACTCTTATCTTGCTGCTTGTCAGTTCGAAATGAAACTTTATAACAGAAGCACTACCTGCAGAAACTTTCCTACTTATGCAAGTACACAGAACATCCAGTATATTCATCAAACGACAAATGAATTAAGAAAAGTCTAAAAATATCTTTAAAGTAATGAAAGATTTTACAAAGTAAGAAATCCATATTTTCAAATATTATTGATTCTTCAAGTGTTCTTATTATGAGTGTAATTATCAGTGTTTAACATTGATTATGTTGCAATTATACCATAACTGTGGTGTTAGCCAGGAGTTTTTGAGGAATAAACTCGAGGCAATTAATCAAAATTAATTAAAAGTTATTAATCCCCTAATGTTTTTTGGATAGTTAAATGATTCAAGTGTTCAGTGGTTAAATTTTTTTAATTAATTAATTAATTTATTTTTACACCCACTTCCCAGATAACACCCTCCCATAGCCTCCCTCCTCCCACTAGAGCTCTTATACTCTGATATCCCTGCTACTGTCTGCTGTGTTGTCGGCATCCCCAGCCATTTCCCACTACTTGCCCTTCTGGTGAATCTAGTCAGCCTATCTAGAGGTCTTTGTTTTAGGAGGATCAGCTGTTCCTCATCTAGCAGCAATCAGTTGTCAATATTCCTTTGGAGAAGATTGGGGTCTGCTGTTCATTTTCCAAGTTTTATGCTGGGTTACTATCTGGGAATCCCTTTGGCCACTTGCCAACAACTCAAAAGTAGGTATTGCCTGTCTGGCATCGTTGCTTGTTATGTAGCCTATGGACCAAAGACATTAAAGAGGTCCACAATGAAAATTTTGTTTTTTATAGTAATTCTTTCTTGAGACAGGGTCTCACCACAGCCCCAGCTGGCTTGGAACTCACTATGGAGACCAGGCTGGCCTCAAACTCACAGATATAATGCCAAATTTAAATTATTGACTGAATTGTCTTAATAGGCACATCACCTTACTTACTCTTCATAGCGACATGGGAATGGAATGCAATATTGTCAAAGGCTATTTTTTTCAGACCACCACCAATACATATTTTAAAAATTAATATTTTACCTTGGACCCTCTATTCAGAATGTTTTATCTTTAATGTTCTAAAAATTAATGAGAATGGAAAACCAGAGATCTTTTTGTCTATTTACTGTGTCATAAATATCTGGACAATATATTGAATGTTTGTGCTCACAAGTTATGAGATTTTATACATACTCTGCCTGTGTTAGGGAGATGGGCCTGTAGTAGCGAGTCGCGAAGGTAAAAGCCACGTGAAAGAGCTTCCACTATACCATGTGAGGGTGGAAAGAGAACTGAACCAGAATTCAACAAACAATGAATTTCTGGGACCTTGGCTTGGACTCCTTAGCTTTCAGAACTGTGAAAAAAAATGTTAATTGGTCACACCACTGGCTTATCACATTTTTGTCATAGAAACTTATATTTATCAATGTCCTCAAAGAAAGAGTCAAATGAGAGAAAGAAGCAGCTACTACATAGCCAGCAATGTATATTCACAGAACCAGGAGATTCTGATGGACCGTCCTTTATATTTGACCTGGTCCTTCTCCTCTGCAACTTTCAAACTACTTTTTTGTTCTGTACATTTAGTGGTTTAGCTATAATAAAATGCTGAGAGTTGCTATTCTAGTCCTATCTGTTTCATTTTCCATGTGCCTTATATCTGGATGGGCTTCTCTTTCTCTAGATTTGGAACATTTTCTTCTATTATGTTATTGAAATATCTTCTATGCCCGTTACATTAAAGTCTTTTCCCTCTTGTATGCTTATATTCATATATTTTTCCTTTTCTTAATGTTCCAAAGATTTCGGATGTTTTTTCATACAATTAAAAAAAAATCTTGGCGAAGTTCTGGCCTCCTTCTGGCATAGGGGCTGAGAACAGAGGGGACTACCTGAGAACTCCTGGATCATGCCTCCACATGATGGTGAGCTTTCCCTAATTGTGTCATACCCATCCCCCTACCTGGGATTTCTTGAGGTCCCTCCCAAGGCCCCAGGGCAGATCTGGCTTTGGTAGGCTAAGGCTGAGATTCTAGCAGACAGCCTGAGATGGTGTCTTCCAACCTCCATCAGTGTAGCGGCTCTGATCTCAGTAGTCTGTCAGAGAGTGCCAAGTTCTGGCCTCCCTCTGGACTCCCTCTGGTCTCCCTCTCGCCTCCCTCTTGCATAGGGGCTTAGTAGGCAGGCAACTGCCTGAGAGCTCTTGGAACCTCCTTCCACGTGGTGAAGGAAGCCTGAATATACCTGACTGGAACCTGAATTGGGCTTTGGTGGGCACTCTTGAATAACTGATTTGAAGCCATCAGTTCCCTCCAAATTAAACCTGAGAGAACCTGAACCCTGTACCAACCAGCTTTACATAACCAATAAAGAAAGGATGTAGGCACCCCAATAATACAAACAGAAGCATACTTCAACTTAATTCTCATATCAGAATCATAAAACAACCAGAGGAATTTACATGACAAAAATCACAAAGAAATAATAAAATGATAAGCCAAAACACTATGTCCCCACCAAACTACACCAATCCTGTTGAAGAGTTCTACAAGGAGAACCCCCTGGAGACTGAATTTAAAAGAACAATCATAAGCATGATCAACAAATTAAAGAACACAAGAACAAACAAAGAACTAAAAGAAGATAGTGATACTTCTGAATGAATTCACAAAAGAGATAGAAACATTGAAGAAACTCAGGCAGAAATGAAGAAGGAAGTGCAAAAGTCAATAAGCCAACTTGAAACAACAGGGGAAAGCCTCACCGCTATAATGAATGAAATGGAAAACGGAATATCAACACTGGAGGATAAAGTTGAAGGATTGGACGACTCAAGCAAAGATTATGGAAAATTTAAAAAACCACAGGAACAGAATATGCTAAGGAAAGACATCCCATACAAATACAGGAAGCACATAGAACACCAAATAGGAAGGATCAGAAAAGAAACTCCACAAGACATATCATAGTAAAAACACCAAATGTACAGAACAAAGAGAGGATACAGAAAGCAGCAAAAGAAAAACAACAAATCACATACAAAGGAAAACCCATCAGAATTACAACTGACTTATCAATGCAAACTATGAAAGCCAGAGAGCCTGTACCAAGGTATTTCCAGTTCTAAATGACCACAAATGCCAGCCAAGATTACTTTACCTAGCCAAAATCTCTATTATAGTTGAAGGGGAAAGAAAAATCTTCCATGATGTGAATAGGCTG